GTGCCGCCGATCAAATTGGATTTAAGTGCTTCCGTGCCATATGTTATCGGGGTTGTCTGTAATTGCTAGAGTTCAGGTAGGCGTTTCTAAAACAAGGTAACCCAATTGCTGATGTGGACCCTTTGAGTGTTGAGTGTCGTAGCGATGTTTTGCAAACTCGCCACCTGAGAGGAGTCCATTCCAACTCAGACAAGTGGAGTACTTGAATAAATTGCAACCAGGTGTTGTTTGTTAAACATTCGGTATTCGGCTATTGATTTTCAGTAGGCAGTAAGATTCGCTTGCAAAGACTACCGTTGGGGCAGGATGTGAAGAAAAAGTCATTTATTGGTCAAATGGTGGTATAAATATTAGCTAAAAGACAAATGGCACGATTTGCTGAAGCCACGGACGTTCCACCGTAGTGTGGTGGTTACGTAATCACTGTCTCAAGTCAAGCTTTTGGCTGCGCCGAGGTTTGAAGAGCACGGATGGCACACATCCTGCCGAGTGCGTCCGCTCAACGCCCTCTGCCAGTAGAGTACGACGGCTTCGTCATCCGATGTTATACCACAAGTGGAAGCTAGCAGTTGAAAATACTTTTTCGTGGACTCTTCAACGCTGGAGGATACCTTCTACAAGGGAGGGGAGAGAAGAACCGGTTTGGCTTGGAGCTGAATTTTAAGAAACAGTGTCTTTACTTACGCAACAAGTCTGAAAAGCATAGAGAGTACGCGCGTAGTCGATCCACCTCTGTCGAATGGCGGTCAGTGCGAGACTCATGGTCGAAGGCTGTAGGATGACGAGATTGTTTTGCGCTGGATCTACCATTCGAAAAACTTCAGTTATTTGGCGAGCGAAGGTAGAGTTGATATTCTTTTTGAACACAGGTCCTGAGAATGTGGTTACAGGGGTAGAAGTGGAGACCGTGTAATTGGAGGAGGGGAGGCCCCAAGGAGAGGATGAAGGATTCTCCGAGAGACTACTGCTTCGTGACCACGCCAACTCCCAGTTGTCTGAGGGGATTTCGAGCGCTTGGCCGAAGCTGATTGCAAAGTTAAGCTAAAAGGAATGATTTTGACGACTCAACTTAACTTCACACGTTTCAGCCGATGAGTTCAAAACAGCTATTTCCATGCTGAGATTTGTCCAGTTTAGATAAAAAACATCGAACTTCATATGGCATTGCTTTTCGGATAATTAATAAAGCAGGAAGTAATTTTATAATTAAAAAGGGGCAGAATATTTAGTTATAGACTGATGAGCAAACTTACATCGGCAGTACGATTAGACCTAAGCAGCAATTACATCCGCCACCAAAAAACTAGTGTACCCATCGATAGACTAGTCTAGGCAGTCTCTAAAATCCCGACAGCCAAAGGCGCTACGTGACAAACGCAACCTATCTCAGAAACGAAGACGTGCCTACAAAGATTACAAACACTGAATGATATAGTGATGGGGCGCTCATCGGACCGGTAATGAATAAACATTAAAAACGCTTGAAAGGCCACTGTAAAACTGCCAGTAAAGGCTACCTTCAGCAAGGCGCAAGGGCAGCGATAGCGCAAATTTGTAAAAGAAACTTACTGCAGAGGCAGTGAGCATAACCGGTCATGAGTGTACGAACATCTGCGATTCCTAAATCTTGGAGCCCACAGGGCACAGACACACTTTTTGCGGATCATCCTGGGATGTCTAACCTATGATGACAAATATTCCTATGTTGAAGATTTCATACGCTCTCCCAAAAGTGGGCCATGAAAACAAAAAAAACACTTATTGCCTATTGTAACAGATTAGCTTTCATTCCAAACGCTGTTCACGTACCAGTTTTCTTTAACACTTCTGTCGAGGCTATATAATGTACTATTATCTGAGAACAAAGTTGAATAAAATACGTATGATCAAAAGACAGCGATAAAGGCGAAAAGATTGGTGGAAGATTAGTAGCGCTGAATGGTAGGGGAGATTCATCTTATGTTCAATGAAATGTTTAAGGTCAATAATTATCCAAAGTTGTTCATAATTTCACGAAAACCATCACGACTCAGTGCTGCAAGCCAAAATTGACCAATCGAAATTGTGGAGAAGCTAGCTTTATTATGTTAATACGACCTTCTGACCGCAACGATTTAATATCACTCAAAATTTTTTCCTAAAGTAATAATAATGTTTATTTGCTTAGCGCCATCGTTGAGTCATCGTAGTGCTTTTCTGCTGATATTTTGGTGACAAATGTGGTAAAAGGATAGTAAGGAGGTCAATTGCATTTCCATCCATTGACATGAATGCATCTACAATTCATTAGTCAGAATTGCCCACCTGGTCAAACTTTGTGTCCGAGTCAGTGGAAGAAGTAGAAGGAGAGGATGAGCGTTCGCCAGTAACCAATTTCTCCTCCTTGGCAGTGTTTGGAGACATTAGGCTCACTTGGACAATTACGTAGGGTGTCTCCGGAGGACCCAATCTTGACAGAGCAGCGCCCACAGTGAGGGAGAGGAGATTGCACTGAGAGGGTGGGTAGTATGTCGTACTTTCGTTAATCTGAGGAGATCGTTGAAAATTGAATTTCAGGGCAGCAGAGAAAACGAAGTTCAACAAACAAATTTGAAGGTTGGCAAAACAAATGTGTAGTTATGCAAAATAAAAAGCACATAAACTGCACTTCTTTAACTAAATAACACAAGCCAACATCCAATTACACCCATACAAAACATTTAACCTCCACAAACCAAGAAGGATGTGGCAACAACGACCTTCTCCTCATTTCAACATTACTCCACCATCGAGCGTCAACTTTACTTCATATGATTGCTTATTGCAAAAGCCAAGAAAATGTGGCAACCATCCTTTCGACCACTGCCAACATTACTACACATCATGTCCACCTCACGGACTACGCACATCTTACGGAAAGCCTTTGCAAATGTAAAGCCGAGCTCAATGTCCACCGCGTTCGCATGGCTGACAGATCATGACAGAATATTAAACAATAAAAGCAAGATATATTTAAAATACCCAGATCTCTTACTCACTCGATTGCTATCTTAGAATCTGATGATCTCGAAAATGAAACCGTTAATACAACGGATAAGTTCAAGCTCAAGATAAATTTTATTGAGGTAGTTGCATGAACGGCGACCATAAAAATTCGAATTGGTTAGCTCTCTAATCCATAGTCTATGGGAAAGCATGCTCCACCTGCACATTGATTTGAGCAAACTATTTCAATCCTTCACAAAGTGGGCACCAATA